AATTAAACTCGTAAGTCAAGGCCCCACTGTATCTATCCTATATAATAAAAGGTTAATTGACCAAACAGCGGAACGACCAGTCAGGCACTGACCACCAGGGGACAGATGCTCAATGCAGGAGCTGCCCCCTGGTGGTCAGTGTGCTCCCACAGGGGGAGCTCTGCTCAGCCACAAGCCAGCCTGATGGCTGCCAGTATAGCGGTGGTCGTGGGAGCCTCTCCTGCCTCTGCAGCAGCACTAACGATGTCTGACTGCCGGGTTGGCCAGCAGTTGGACATCCCCCGAGAGCTCCTGGACTGCGAAAGGGCGCATGCCGGGCTGAGGGACCCCCCCCACACACACACACAAGTGCATGAATTTTGTGCACTGGGCCTCTAGTATATATATAAAAGGCTAATATGCAAAGTGTCCCCTCGGGAGTTCGACTGGGAGAGCGGGAGTTCGATTGCTTGCTATGACTTGCACTGACCACCAGGGGGTGGCACAGAACGAAGGAAGGCCTTGGCCGGCGGCCGGCAGCCAGGGAAGGGAGGCCCTGGCCGGCAGCCAGAAGGAAGGACCCAGCTGGCAGCTGGAAGGCCCCGATTGGCCCTGATCGCTGGCCAGGCCTAGGAACCCTACCCGTGCACGAATTTTGTGCATTGGGCCTCTAGTATATATATTTTTTTATTGATTTCAGAGAGGAAGGGAGAAGGAGAGAGAGATAGAAACATCAGTGACGAGAGAGAATCATCTATAGGCTGCCTCCTGCACACACACGCCCACTGGGGACCAAGCCTGCAACCCGGGCATGTGCCTCGATGGGGAGTTGAACCCCAACCTCCTGGTTCATAGGTTGATGCTCAACCACTCAGTCACACTGGCTGGGCCCTAATGTGTATCTACCGCAGACACCATCAGAGCTCTAACGTCACATGGGCTCCACAAAGCCTTTGGCCCTGATACCCCCACCTTGACGTTCTCCCTTGGTTGTGTTTTGGCAGCAGTGAGACAGGAACTTTCCAGAATGAACTTCTGTGAAGAGCCCGAAACACAAAAGCACCAGGAGAGATGGCTTCGAGCCTAGAAGACCCTGTGTGGGCATGGCCTTGACTGTCCTGTTGGTTCCTGACATTGTCTACTTTGTGACTTGGCTAAGCCAGGAGTTTAAAATGGGGCTGGCCTCTGGGGGCGAGATCCCTGCTTGTAGGCGAGCCTCGCTGGCCACCCAGCACCCACCTCTGCACCCAGCTTTGATTCTTTCTGCCTATTGGGACAGTCACTCTGCTAGGGTTGTTTTTTGTTTGTGCGTTTTTTATTGCTAGGCGAGGTGGCAGGTGTGACGTGATCTGAGAAAGCGATGGTTCTTGGTCACAGACAGGTTTTCGTGGTGGGGCATGTCTATCACAGGGAAGACCCAGCTCTGTGATGTTGACTAGCTTCCTGCAGGGGCAACAGGTGGTTCACCCTGGAACTCTATCATTCATCAAAGGCCCCAAGTAGTGCAGGCACTGCACCTCAAAAGAGAGAAGAAAATGGTATGGCCGTTCCTCAAAAAAATTAAACAGAACTACCACGTGACCCAGCAATCTCTCTTCTGGGTATGAACCCCAAAGAGTCAAAAGCAGGGAGTTGAAGAGAGATTTGTTCACCCACATTCATTGCAGCATTATTCACAACAGCCAGAAGGCGGGAGCAACCCAAGTGTCCATCGACGGATGAGTAGAGACACAAATGTGGTCTATCCACAGAGTGGAATATTATGCAGCTTTAAAAAGGAAGGTAATTCTGTCCTGGCCGGGCAGCTCAGTGGGTTAGAGCATTGTCCCTATATGCCAAGGTGTGGGTTCAATTCCCAGTCAGGGCACATACATGAATGCGTGGATGAGTGGAACAACAAATCGATGTTTCTCTCTCTAATCAAAAGTTTTTTATTTTAATTTAATTAAAAATTTTTAAAAAGGAAGGTAATTCTGACATGTGCCACAGCGTGGATGAACCTTGAGGACATTGCGCTCAGTGCAACAAACAGTCAGAAAAGGACAAAGATCCCCCTGATATGCGGTCCCTAGAGTCGTCAAATTCATAGAAACAGAAAGTAAAACTGGTTGCCCGGGCCTGGGGGGAGGGGTGGCCGGGGAATGTATTGCTTCTCGGGGAAGAGTTCCAGTCTGGGAAGATGGGAAAGTTCTGGAGATGGGTGGTGGTGACGGTGGCACAGCGTGTGACAGTACTGAATGCCTCAGAACCGTACACCAGGAAAGGTTAACGTGCTGACGTCGTTGGCTGTGTGTGTTTTAACCACCGTTTTTTTTTTTCAGGGGGGAGCGGACAGAAACAGGAAGCACGTGACTTCTGGGTAGAAGGAAAGAAGAAACCTGAATTAACACGTCAGACCCCAAGACACCAGGGCACCCAGCGGCAGCATCTCATGCAGCTTCCACCTCTCGGGGTGTGCTGGACCCCTGGCCACCGCTCCTTCCCCATCACTCACTCCATCCAGCAGATGACAGGTAAGGCCACGCTTCTCCTCTCCCTTGGCAGAGTGGAAAGGATTTGGGATGGAGCATCAAAGCCTGAGTTTCAATCCCTCCCGCTCCCTGGACCTTCACCCCCCCCCCACAACATACACACACACACACACACACACACACACACTCCAAGCGTGGGGTTGGGGGAGGAGGCTGGAGATCGCAGAGGCCCCCAGCTCCACGGAGCTCCTGTCTGCTCTCTGAGTTCATGAACCGCGCTTTGTGGTAGTTTCCTGTTTTTGTTCTCTTGCTTCCTCTCCTGCTCTGTCCCGGTGACAGATTTAGAGCTGCGGGGCTGCCTTCTGGTCCAGGGGCCCAGATGGGTATGCCCTGGGCCCTCTGAGCTGGGCCGGAGCCTGGGAAGGGACAGTCCCCAACCTCTGGGGCTTGCATCTGGGGTTCATGATGAATCCCAGTGAAATCCTCCCTCCTCCGTGAGAGGGGACTTCCCTCCCATTCCCCTAGAGCAGTGGTTCTCAACATAACTGTAATTTTGCTACTGTTATGAATCGTAATGTAAATATCTGATATGCAGGATGTATTTTCATTGTTACAAATTGAACATAATTAAAGCATAGTGATTAATCACAAAAACAATATGTAATTATATATGTGTTGGAAAACACATATAGGCGATTCCTGTGAAAGGGTCGTTCGTCACTATGCTTTAATTAGGTTCAATTGGTAACAATGAAAATACATCCTGCATATCTTCTGTCTAACACGTGGGAATTTCTCTTTTCTCCTGGCATCCTTTTAATAACATTTAATGTGTGGCGCATAACGTAACATATGTAGCACGCATGTACAGTCTATACAGCAGGGTAGTATGGACAGGCCTGAACCCAACACTCAACACAGGCATGAAATGTTCCTAAATCCTGCATCTACCTGTGCGTTCCTCGCTCCCACCCAGATGTAGCCACCCTCCCGATGTTCTTAGTGCTTTATCACATATGCATGCCTATTCTATTTTGTTTCATAGTTCTTGGCACAAATTATTTGTAGACATTTTTAATTGTGGTAAAATTCACATAACACAAAATGTACCATCTTAACCATTTTTCCATTTTTAGTGTGCTTCTTTATCCATAGTTGAGACACGTGTATTAAAATATCTCGCTATGCTGGTGGTTTGATCTCTTTGTAGTTTTTTCAAGATAGGTACTTATACTATGTAGTTTTTTCAAGATAGATGCTTATGTAGAGCTATGAATTGATCCTTTAATTTAGGCACCCATTTTATCCCTTATCAATATCTTTGTAATAAAAGTCCTCTTTGCCTGATAGCAATAGTTGGTTGTGGTAAGTACATGCATGTTTTCTTGTAACCAACCTCGAGTTTTCTCATACAAAACAGAAACTCTACCCGTCAAACAACTCACCAGGCCCCGGCAATCACCATTCTGCTTTCTTTTTCTGTGAATTTGTAACGTCTTCTTTTTTTCTTTTTTTTAAATATATTTTATTGATTTTTCACAGAGAGGAAAGGAGAGGGATAGAGAGTTAGAAACATCAATGAGAGAGAAACATCGATCA